AAGATGTATGCAAGATGTATGTTCCATTATTATTACTATTATTTATACATAAATAATTATTTACGGAATTTACCTCATGTCAAAAAAAAAATAATAGCAGCTATTATTTCTTTCAAAAAAAAATTAATTAGTTCTAAAATTATATCTTAAATTCATATAATTAAATAAAGAACAGGATGAATAAATATATAAAATATATACTTTCAAATATTTTTAAAGACAGTATAGTATATCAGGCAGTATACATTTGCGGCGTATTAAAATTAAGTTAGAAATCAATAATAGGTCTTTCATTTCATGTTTGATGAAACGACCGTAAACAGCTTTCAGTCTTGCACAAGACCACTGCCAAAAAAACGAAAGATCTTTTAAACGATCTTTCACAAGATTTGTGAGTATGGTGATCTGAAACATATTTGCCAGAATTGCTCTATGTATTTCATGTTCTTACTGTTGTTTTCTAAACAGAGGTTTTTAGCAAATTGTGGTGAAACTGCTATAACAAAAATTTTTTTAACAATATAGGTCCCGATATAATATTATGTCTATATAAGTTATATAGATATAATGATTTGTACTCAGGTCATTTGCGCAACTAATTGTGAAAAGGCCACTTTCAGGACTTTTATAGCGAAATCTATAGCAGTAATGTGTTGCATGATACGTTGTACGAGTTAGAGCACTGCATCAGGTAATAAACGAAAAAGAACGACAGCGCACGATTCGCAATTGTAAGCAAATTCAAGAAACGCAGCTAATATTGTTGTTGACACCAGAATGTGAGCCACTCACTTCACATCTCTGCTTTATATGTACCATCTCTTGGAATATAAGTTTTTATAATTCTAATATATGTTACTGTTTAGAATTATGTTATATTGTTTCTTATCTCTTATGTCAAAATAGAATATTATAATGCACTGTTTAAGACATTTTAAACAACCATATTGCGTTAGCTCGGTACAATCTTCTCGTGTGTGCGGTTGTATTTCAGCTTTTGTGATCAATTGCTAAAATTTATTGCTACTTATAGATACTGCGCTCCCCGTCGTAAAATAAGTTGATGGAATATTCGCCACGTTAGCAGCTTGAAATCACGTGTCTTGCTGCTGTAATAGTTTCAAAACTAACCGCGTATCTTATATATGAGCCCTTTATGACATACATTGTCAAATACTTGTTTAACATCGGGGAATACTGCGGAGCAATATTCTCTGAACTCAAATGCGTGAATTATTTCATTTGTTATACGATTCACTTGCTTAATAGTTCCATATTAGTTCCTTAATAGTTTCTCTAAAACCAAACTTGTGGGGGAGTATTAGGTTTTGACGGTCAAGGTATGGTTTCAGCTTTAAAAGCATGAAAATCTTTGCCTGATTTAATAATCATGCATGTGTTCCACTCTGTTAGTCAAAGTCAAATTTAATAATGGCACTAAAAAATCCAGTCATGAAATTAATGTCCAAAAGGGGTAAGTTTTTTATCATGATAGGTGAGATGTTACCATATCCTGGTGCCTTATTGCAATCTAACTTGTTTGTGATTATTTGAACAAGATCATTGGCTATAATATTCATATTAATAAATGGTGCATATAGACGCTGTACGGGAAAGTCATAATCACCACACTTTGCTACATGATCGGCAAGTGAACAACGAGTCGCCAAATTACACTAATACAGAGCATCAACACAACACTTGTGTTGCGGTTGCAAATAAAGTTTCTCGAGCATTGCCATCCGTTTTAATTAGTACTGCATTAATAGAAATGAGAGCTAGCTCAGGCCAAAAATTATTGTAAGTGCTCTTTCAGGTAGTGCTTCAGAGATGACATTTATCAGTGAATTCATCGCCTTACAATCTAAAGTCAACAGAACTCATGCTAAAGTGCCTATATATGGGGCCAATGATTAAAATGTTGCCTACTCTACAGAATCGATCTCATTTACTATTTACTCTATGAAATCAAACTTATTGCATTCAATTTGCCTCGAGTATGTAGCATTATACCAAATACTGCAATTTCAAAAGAAAAGTTTGAAGTTTTTTGAATTTAAATTTAGCTGATCCATAGTTAAATGTTCCAGGTCCGGTAGGCATTATTCTGAGCGCTTCGGACTATGCTGCCATTTTACTTAATGAAGTGAAACGTGATTCAGCAAACAACACCATTCTGGACTTCTGAACACACAAAGACGCTTAACTTGAAGGGGTGCACACAACTTTTCGATTACACACTGTAACATATGGAACATATTGTGCCTCATATCTTGCTATAAAAGTTTTGCGCACGCTGGAGAAAGATGAGCAGGTCCGCTTTCCAAACGCTTTAAATTAAATTTGGAAAGAATTCTACGTTCAAGATGGGCTGATGGTACAAACTGCATACGTCAACGTACCAGTAACGGAGCATAACAAAATCCTAAGCACACGTAGGCTAGGAATAGGATGGGTGTTCTGCAGAATTCGACATTGCATCTTACCAAGATGATGTTTCAAATGCTGGGACTACAACCACTTAGCTAAAAATTGCAAAAAATAAATTGATCGTAGGATTGTGTAAAGAAAATGTGTACTAAAAAGGAGAAATGCGTCCTATTCACAGGGAGCCATTCTGCAGACAGTGTCCGCTGTCCAAAACATATAAAGGCGAAAAACGAGAAGGAAAATGGAAATTGTCCAACTAAGTTTCAATCACTGCAGCCCAGGACATGTTACAGCAAATAGTGGTGGAACAGAACTTCAAACAAAAATAAGTGAGCAATATCGCAATTTAAATGAAAGTGAATGGATTTCTGATACAACTGGCAAAGCTGCTACCTAAACCATATAAGATAGCAGTATACAAGGAAACTCATGATAACAACAAGAAGGTTACACGTGGGACAAGAAGAATAGAGTGCACTACTTTTCTTGGTATGTACCCCCTAGCTTAGACCTAAGATGATTCGAAGTCATGATGTCAGAAATTGTTAATAGACTTCGTATTACTGAATAATGGACAACATGCCTTTAAAGCAGGTAATGGAAAATCAAAAGTAGACCTAACCTAATAACTCAATAGTCTATCACATCTCCATACAGAAGTGTGACATTATTAAGGATAACTTACTTTAGACTTTTTATCAAAAGAGCGTTATTTGTGTTATTTACAGTGATTTGTAAATTAGGTATTCGCTAAAAAATAAACTTATTGTCAGAAAATTTTCTTGTCCTAAATTCCTACGACTTTCGACGTGGATTATCAAGATAAGAGTGCATCGATGAACTTACTTCCGCATTTGGCCATGAGGCTTCATTCTTTGCCACTGCGAAACGCTGGAATATGATTTTAATCACGGCTGCAGTTCGCTCACTGACGAAATTCGTAAAGATCGTACAAAATCAGTTATTGTGTCAGAAAACATTGATGCTATAAAAGAATTGATAATGCAAGATCGTCATGCGAAATTCTCTAGGATTGAGGGAAGTTTAGGCATTAGTTCCACCAGCATATAAAAAATGTGCACGATTATTTCAGGTACTTATTTACAATATTTAGATTGTAACATAAAATTGTAAGCACAACATTTTAAGCTACATCATAGAGCAATAATAATAAAAAAACAATTACAAAAGTAATAAAACAATTATTAAAAATCATAAGCAAATGTAATAAAATAAATAAAACAAAACAATAATAAAATTTGTAAATAAAACACCATTGTAGTTACAAGAACAAAACACCAGAATACATCACACTTCAAACAAAGACAAAAATGCAAGCAAGACAGTCAGCAAGGTAATGAGCTAGAAGACAGGTCGCTCAGAACATACATCAAGAATAGAAATTTACATTTCTATTCCCATTCTTTTATTAAGTAATAGTTATCTACATTTCTGGTATTGGTATTTCACCAACACCAAGTTAATGACTAAAGGAATCTACATTTCGGTAGTGACCATTTCCAAGGTGATAACAATTCCTATTTATGATCATCAACAAATCGTTCCTGGACAAACATTTCGTTACTAACCGTACAAAGCGTGGCAAAAATTCGATCGTTTCCATTTTCCACTGTTCCTACCAAATAAATTTTATTGTAGGACTGAATCTGGAATCCGGCGAGTGCAACCTCGGCGAAAAACGTTCATTACAACATTTAATATTTCAACTATTCATGTACACAACAATTTTTTTACCAGAAGTCTTCAGCGAAATACGGAAAACAAACAATTGCCGTCAAATCATTTTCCATGAAGACAACAGACTAAATATTGATTGAAGAAGACAAAGTTCCTGTAGTGATAGCACAAAGAGTACCTAAAACTCTTAACAAAATTGCTGACAAAAAGGCGCCAGAACACTAGAATCTTATAATGGCTTATCAACGAAGCAATTTGAATTCAAAAATGACAAATTCACGATAGATGCAATTTGAATGGTGACAGAAATATCACGTGAAGCTACAAGTGGTACTAGGTAGGGATTTGGCGATACAAAATACTGTACCTTACTGACGCTTTATGTAAAGAATGCCTTCAATACAGCAAGCTGGTCAAAAATAATGGACACACTAAACAATCTTGAGGATGCAGGCTACAGATACAGATAAGGGAGTGAAGCAGTATACCGTATCCAAAGATGTACTACAAGGATCAGTGTTGTGACCAACACTGTAAAACACAATGTTCGATGGTGTCTTGCGAGTTACCAGAAAATTACCAGAAGGTGCAAACGACATGCTGAGAAAGTGAAAAACTACAAACGCCATGCACTGAATTAATCAATATGATTGCTGAATGGCTTAATAAAGCAACACTCGAGCTCGCAGCATGAAAAACATAAGTGATTTAATAAGCACTAGAAAGGTGAAAGAAGTGATAACTTGTAAGACAGGAAACCGTGAAATAATAT